CCTTGGAATAGATTGCCGAGGCTAAATGCTAGTCAATCAGCAGCCAAGCGGAGTAGAGAGGATTGATTTTGCTATTGCCATTAGCGTCAGTGACCTGTTTCGCCGGTGGTACTGTAGTGCTGTTCAGGTGTATCCATCAAAGTGTTCGCCGTGAACAACTTTAACAGTTGAGATTTCCATATCAGGTTATTATCGGTCGTGAGTTGAACAGTGACCATGGAGTTCACGTTTGCCATAAAGAACTTTAACTGCTGTGGGATAACAACTTCACTGGAAGCTGCGTTTGAACCCGAGTCTTCCATCTGAGTTGAGGAGGATGACGCTGCCATAGGAGAGGATGCAGGGGACGTCACCTACAGCTATGATACCATGAAACGAGATCTAAAGCTACATAAAATAGTTAGCATAAAAGCATAGGGAGAAGAAGAAATCAAAAGCAGGAAAACAGAGTTGCCATTGCAGAACCCTTGAGCTCAGTTTTTCTCCCATACCATAATAGCTGCTACAGTACTCATCTAAATAACCGAGTTAGTTACAAAGCAGTGGCTTAGATAAATCGATCTGAGATCTAACGGTAGAGGGAAAAAGGGGTACTGCAATGGCAGGATTAGTGGAAGCACTACACCATATTGAAGCCGGCTGATCTATAGGACATGCAGCTTATCAAGTCTCCTTATCAGTTGATATATTAGCCATAAAGGTTATCCAACTAGGTTAATGTCCATCTACTAATTCGATCAATTAACTCTGGGTTAAATGTACCTGATAGATCATATAATTCCCATGATGGCATGATGACATAGTTTCTCTTCCATAATCTCCTTTCTCTCCATGATTGGCGACATTGGGCAAGCATGTCAACCATTAGGCATAATAGCAAGAGTGTCCTTTGAGATTTATAAAAGGGGAGGGGAAAGATTGTAAAAGAGGGAACTTCTTTTTTTCCATTTACCCATGAACCACTATAATAGAGTTAGTAGTTTCCCATATAAACATACGTGAATTTCTCAAAATCATAAATAACTATTATTTTTCTTAGTGCTTTTAAAGCATCTTTTTGGCAAAAAAATTTATGGTTCAAGAAATTCTTGTACCAAAAAGCTGTTTTAGAATGCAGTAAGAAAGCTATGCCAAATGAAGATGACTTTTTTTAATGCTAAAGCAGCTTTCATTTATTTTTGTACTAAAAAGTAGCTTTAAGAAGCAGCAAGAGAGCCATCTCAAATGAAGACTTAATCATGATGATTTGAACAGTGGAAATAGGAATGGAAGACAGAAATTCATGTTTATTATCAAATGTTTCTAGTTCATCTTCATACAAAAACAATTTGAATATTTTAAATTTAATAATAAAAATTATAGAAAAAGTAATTAAATTAAGAACTTCTTATTTCATCTTTTACTAGCAATTCAATTTCTACCACTAATTTTATTTCTTTTATGTATAGTTCTTCATGTCATGATTCCTTTAATCATATAAAATATTTTTTTCTCAAATAGAAAATGAAAATGAAAATTTATTTATGCATGCCCTACTTCAAATTTAATGTATATTTATTTAAATATATTTAGATATGCTTCATATGTGTGTTCATTGAGAAGATCCACATGAACAAATATTTCTATGTATACTTCATATGCTTCATTTGGGACTGGTCTTTTTAATGCTTTATAAAACATTTTTTTAATATAAAAATCTGTAGTTCATAAAATTTTTGTACTAAAAAACTGCTTTTAAAACAGTAATAAAATTATCCCAAATAAATCTTAATTTTAAACAATATATTATATAGTTCATCTCCACGCGCTTATAACTTCTTTTTCTAATTATTCTAATGTTAGTGGTCCCAAGTTTTATTTAATGTGAAAATCAAGAAAGTGTTTGTAGTTGATGAAAATAAGTTGATGGCATGCTCTATATCAATTCAAAATAGAATTGTCAGAAGATATAAAATTCAATAAAGTAAAAAAGAATGGTATTATGTAATATTTTTAAGCTTTGTTTGGGACGACTTTTTTGTGCTTTCTAAAACATCTTCTTAGTATAAAAATGCTTAGTTTAAGAAATTTTTGTAGTAGAAGTACGCTTTAAAAAATAATAAGAAAATCATCCCAAATGAAGTCTTAGTTAGATCCACTATAAAATAAAATTAAGAGAATTTCTAAATCATAAGCTCATTCTCGCTCTCTTTTGCTCTCTTGGGGCTTAGTCTACATATATAGTACGTAAAGCGTTGCAATATTCTGAGGATAACGCAGAAGTCAACATGAGCCATGCAGGCCTTAAAAAAATATAAATTAAACTTACAACCAAATTTGGCTCGGCTCAAAATTAGATTAAATGATTTAGGCTACGTTTGGGATGATCTTCTTACTGCTTCTTAACACAGCTTTTTAATACAGCTTTGTTTTGGACGACTTTCTTAATGCTTCTCAAAGTAGCTTTCTAGCACAAAGAAATTGTACTAGAAAGTTGCTTTAGAAATCAGTAAGAAAACTATTCCAAATGAAACCTTAGAATCGATATAGAGCTGGAGTCAAATCAAAATTCAAATCATATTATGAACAACCCTAACAAGTGCATCTTAATGTAATAGTGAAAATCTCTAAATGATTATTGGATAGCTAAAACAAATACCACTAACGAAAGTTTTGAAAAGTTTAAATTTTGTTAGACAACTAAAATATTTATGTAAGAAAATAAAATAAAATATTTATATTTGATAGGCAGATGTAATTATTAAAATTAATATAAAAGATCAAATTACAAAGGATTCAAACAAGAATTCATTTTTTTTATTTACAAATGTAACCCTAAGCTAACTATCCGGTGAATAGATATAGATCCCACCAAGCAAAAAGTAGATATACAACTAATAAAGCCATTAATTATATACAAATAAAGCACACTTCCTTTCAAAGGCTTCCTCACTTTTCTTTCCGCACGAGCGTCTGCCACTCTCTGCCTTCAACTGCCCAACTTTCCAAGTCTACAGTTCACACTTTCTTCAACCACAAACACAAATTAGAATTACATTAAAACACGGCTCACCTTTATGAGTTGGTTGGAGATTTTTGCAATTAATATATTTTGAATTTGAAATTTGTATATATAAAATATATAAATTTATTTTAATTAGTCTAAATATAAAAAAATTATATTAAATATTTTCGACGACAATAAACACTACCGTCTCCAGGTCCCAAGTCCTGGATAAGAAAAGTGGAGGGTTGCTTTCGGTAGTTGACAGCCAGCGGAAAGCTTGTCGAATAATAATGACATGAATTCTGACCTTATATAGGACACAATGGAGAAAAAGGATTCATGTAGCCGACACCACGTACTGGGATAAAGGCTTGATGTTGTTGTTGAATTTTCGACGACAATAATTTATTAACATATTCATATAGTAATTGCTGGATAAATTATATCTCATTGTCAACTACCTAACACAACTATTTATTTTTTCATTCAAGATTTGAGACCCAAGTGCTATATTAAGGGCATCTCCAACCGAGAAACTAATTTTTCACTCTAAAATGCAGTAAAACTTTAAAATGATGTAATTTAGTTCCAATCTAACTGTGTTTCTTTCTTTTTTCACGCGCTTCCTGCGAAGATAACAATCACTCCTTTTCTCACACTTTTCTCCTGTTTCATGCTCGTCTTCGATAAATTCGACAACCCAATTTTTTTGTGTAGGTGAACAGTCTGACGTCAATATTGGCGTCGCACTGTTCACCTACCAAATTTTAGCGTGAGATTTAGAGTTCGAATGAAGAGAATGACAGATGGCATACGGTGGTATACAGTTCGATTGGAGATAGTCTAAATAGTTTCCCAACACAAAAAAAAAAAAGAATTACGTAAAAACAATATAATTTTCTTATAAAGCTTAGAACTTAGAATTTAATTCAAAGATTGAGGGATGATATATATCAAAAATTTTAATCGAAGAATATCTTTAAGGATAAAAGAATTTAATTAAAATTAAATTAATTTTTTTCTCGAGCTCCAATTAAATTTGATTAGTAATGTCGAGTGGCAATTGAGATAAACCTATTGGTTAAGGTTGATTTAGGATCCTAAGAAACCAAATAAAATAAAGGAATGTTTTCCTATTTTTTTCTTATTAAAAACTCCTTTTCCTAACAAAATTAATTATTCATGTATGGTGGCTACAATTTTTTATAAAGATAATTATAAAATTATTAAAAATATAATATTTTTTAAGAAAAACTATTGCGAGTATTATAATATTTTTTTAAGAAAAAAAAAAAGACAATAAAATTATTACATCTAGCACATAATATTAGGTCTTATTATAAAAAGAAACTTTTTAATCAATAAAATTTTAAAAAGTATCAAAAAAATAGTAACCACAAAAGAATAACAATGATCTAAAATGTAAAACAACACAAAATTTATCCCTAATTTATTATAAATAAATATTTAGGCTTTTCGTTTGGGACGACCATTTCTGAAGCCGCTTTTTATTACTAAATTTTTTAGTTTAAATTTTTTGGTTACCAAAAAGCTATTTCAGAAAGCAGACCCAAACGAGGTTTTAGGCTTCGTTTGGGACGGCTTTTATTACTTTTTAAAGTAACTTTTTAATAGAAAAATTTAATTTTTACACTAAAAACTTGCTTTAAGAAGTAATAAGGAAGACGCTCCAAATGAAGATTTTGTTTGGGATAACTTTCCTATTGCTTTCTAAAACATCTTTTTAGCAGAAAATTTTCAATAAAAAAATTGCCTCAATGGAGATCCAATACTATCATTTACCGTATCTAACAACAATCAACATTCGAAAGGTGGATGTTGAAGTCATATTCTACAAACAACTTTTTTGTTATTATTTAATTTTTTGTTTATTCAAAATGAAGCCAACCCAATAAACACAAAATACCAAATCAAATCACATCAAATTAATTCAAGTCTTTACTTTTTAGTTCTTATCTCAACACTAAAAAATCAAAATCAAACTCAAACAAGATTGAATCAAACACCCAATAAATTAATCATTTTTCTCCAAACTATTAAAACTTATCAAATTTCACCATTTAAAACCCTAATTAACATCAGCTCCCAAAGTTTTGAGAGATTATGAGCTGCAGAGTGCGGACAGAGAGAACCGTCCGCACACAAGTATAGGGTACCCAGCTAGGTACCGCTTGGTAGCCTGTGCTTGTGCGGACGATCCACACTCCGCAAATAATAATTTTTTCAAAATTTAACACATTACAAGCTCATTTTCTCCATTGTTATTTAGTCCTTATTATTCTTCATTCTCAGATTTTATCGGGGCATTTTAGTCATAGAACCAAACGGTGGGAAATACCACTGTAGCTCCCGAGCCTCGTCGTCTCGTACACCGGGAGTTCGTCGCGAAACCGCCCGATGATCGCCAGATTCTCCAACTCAAACAGATCTGAACTCGAATCGCTCTCTCCATCCTCCTCCTCGTCATCCTCCTCCTCTTCTTCCAGCTCCGAGCTTCTCAACATCTCGGCCACACTTCTCACCGGCACCGACGTCGGAGGTCGATCTCCGGCGTAGACGCATTTGTGGCCGCAAGGGCGGCAATCTTCGTCGACGATCACACTAATTGGACAGAATCTCACAGTTCTCTTAACTGATGCTGGCTGCCCCCTGGATGAAGTTGTCTTGCTCAGGCATGATCGAGAGTAAGATGATGCCGACGAGCACACTGACTCCTCGACGCCGGCGACGGCGTTTCTTGAGACCTTGGATTTGGCTGCGAATAGAGAGTTGAGGAAGTTGGCGAGGCGAGCGCCGGGAGATGCAGGGGCTCGTCCTTTTCTCAGCTCGCGAAGTAATCGACTACGAATGGAGCCTTGCCGCTCCTTCTTGGCTCTCTTTTCCTCGGCACCGGCTATGGTCGGTAGCGACGGCTGGGGTTGGCGGGTGGCGGGCCGGTTTCCGCCCGATCGGGCCGGGAAGGACGATGATCTAGGCGGGCTGCTTCGGATCGAGCGAAGGCGGGTTGAGACTGATTCGGTTTCGGAGGAAGAGAAACCGCCGTAGCTGGATCCGTCGGAGGAGCTCGAGGTTGCGGGATTCCAGTTTTCGGTGCTGGATCGGGTGACCGGAGGTTTTCCCGCAGAACAGGAGCTTCTCCTGCTCCAGTGTTCGCGGCCGGATCGGGCAATTTCCGGTAGGGTAACCGGTGGAATCCATCTCCTCGCGTCACTCTGTTTCTTCCTGGAAGAGAAAGAGTCTCCGTCAGCGCGGTGTTCATCGTCGATCGAGCGGTAGATGGCGTCGAGCAGAGTGGAAGAGAAGGAGGGGTGATCTCGGTACCGACATTGTGGCGATTTGGATGCTCCATCCCGCCATCTCTCCATTTGATTTTTTTCCTCTGTTTCCGATATCTATTAAAGAAGAAGAAGAAGAAGAAGAAGAAGGAGGAGATGGTGTGAGGGGGAAGGGCGGGGCTCGGCCTTTTGAGGGCTTCACGCGCGAGTCTGGTGCTTCGACGTGGCTGCTCCCTTCAGATATCCCTGCGGGACCCATTATGATCCTCTCCGTCCGATCCTACTGGATGAACGGCTGGATGCGGCTACTTTGTTCCCGCCACCTACCAGTAAGCTCACTCTTCAGTTATTTGCTTATGATGATGGGCCTTGTTCCTCTACCTATACATATTTTTTAGTTTTTTTTTATAATTAATTAAATGTTTTTTTAGTAGCTGAAAATTTTTTAAAATTTTGCAACAAAAAAAAAGGATTTTATCTCGATTTTATTTGTGACAACTTTCTTACTATTTCTTAAAGAAGTTTTATTTTTATATTAGAAAGCTGCTTTATGAAGTAGTAAGAAAGCCGTCCCAAATGAGAGAGATTATTACGTGTAGTTATTGGATTGTCTGGAGACCATGCAGGACACGCCACATCACCCGATACACAACGGTACATAGTAACGATATACAACATATTAGTGACGAGGTGCATCCTGATTAGTCTCCGAACGGTATCTGATGACCACCCTTAATAATTTCGCCCAAACTAAACCCTCATCTTTTAAAAGAAATTAACCCCTGCTTTATATAGGCTTATTGCATTATCTCATAAAATGATAGTAATTTTCTCTCTCACTTTTATTTCTGTTTTTTTAATTTTTGGATAGTTTTATCTTGCTTGTTCTTGCATTTATCTTCATAAATTTTGTTTGAATTTTATGTTAGATGATTGCATGTGTTTGTTTGTTTCTACCAAAAAAATCTTTTTATGAAATTCTATCATTTTTTTTTTAATTTTTGGAAGAAATATCATTGCTTAAATAGTGACCTTTTTGCTTCAATAAATTTCTATGGTCAATCCATTAGTCAAATTTTTTTTAATATTCTTAGTGTTGAACTCAAGCAGAGATAGTATCTGTAAAAGCCATTAAAAACTCTTTAATTGTAAAGCTATGATTGAAGATCACATCCAAGAGACTCATAAGCATATATTTAATGTGGAGGTAAAATACTTCAAACACAAATACCTTAATGAAAATTTCATTCGGGGATTTCTAAAATGAACTCACTTGGTGCATCACAAAGCTATAGCTACTGTTGTAGGTCATTCTTCAAGCCGGGTGTCGCAACCCAACCCAAATAACCCATATATCATTATAGGTTATATTAGTCACTATGTAAACATGTGTTAAATAATTAATCACTATGCTACTCATGTATAGATACCATATATATATAGTATTATGGTGACAAAATTATCATTTTAAAATCATATATCATTCATCTCACTATGTTCTATTAGAAGCTCTAAGCAATTACATTCATAATGTGAAATAGCTTCTGATCATATACATATATATTAAGAATGTTAGGAATTCTAACTAATCATATGTCTGGCCAATTATAGTAAGTCAGCTGCAATATAATATACTATCATATTATTATGTATGGTCAGAAAAATCACGTGACATAACACACGAGTTGTCGCCCCTAACCCCATCACTTATAGTCATATCTCATTTATCTTATATCTCCCAACCTATATTGAATTCACACCATTAACACAGATTTGAAGGAAAGTATGCCGACCCACCTTCTTGCACAGGATATTATATCTCCACCAACCTGAATCATATAGATACTAGTCATTCTTGCATACATATATTTCATAGTATGTATAATATAGTAAAAAATTGAAGTCATACTTAATATGATAAATTTGAATATGCTCATTTCCACATACATATGACCATGATAGTTGAACTATAACAAATATGTATATTATACACTTAAATTAACAAGTTTGACACTTATTTATCAAAATTTTAAATTCATCTTAATTATTACATTTAGGACTTTTTCTCCAAAACATAGAAATGCTGGGTGAAAATTCAATATGATAATTTCTATACGTGCAAAATTACTAACATAATAATATACTAAAAGTTACACAGTGAAAGTTTGCTATATCGATATATCACAACTTTTATGAGTTCTAAATAAATTAAAAATTTAGGATACCGTAAATAAAGAAATTCACTAAAATTAGAGGTGGGATAATGATTATCCACCTTGAGATGAATAACTTTCTCAACTAGTCGAACAGACGAAAACAGCTCTAATATCCCTAAACATCTTTTTCTCTTCTCTTTTTTCTCATGTCCCTTCTTTTCTTCCCTTCTCCATGCCAAATCGGTGGATGAAATGAAAATAAAATGAGTTTTAAAATAGCATATTTGGATATTTATAAAAAAAATTTTTGCGTAGTGCCGCGACACTAGATCTTTAATGCCATAACGCTTTTAAGGGATAATTTTTCTTTTCATGGAAACATAAGGTTCAACGCCACAACACCATTCTGATAACGTTGTAGTGACCCCAAGGAATTCTACCCTACAACAGAGAGAAAAAACTCTAAGATAGATCAGACAGGCCAGCAACATATCACTAATAATACAACTCCACAACTCTCCCAAGGTTGACTTTCACTTATCAATTTCTTTCCAATTTAACCCACACAAATTCTTTGTGACTAACTTATGAATAAATATAAATTCAAAAAATTCATAGATAATAAGAAAAAAGATCAAATAACCATTTACTAATTGTGTAGAAGTGGTCATTACAAAGAGGATTGAGTACCCCTCCCTAGATATATTAGATGATGTAGAAAAAATCATCCTCTTGTGATAGTAGTGAGGAATCTATGTTGCACGGATACTCCTATTTACGAGGCGTGCTGTATAGTATCGGATACGTGTCGGATACGGATACGCCTCCGATACGGCATAGATACGTGTCGGATACGGCACAGATACGTATCGGATACGCGTGTCCTATTAAAAAAAACACTGAGCCACGATTTACCCTTTTCTTTTCGACTTTCCACCGTTTTCGCTCAAAACACGGAGCAACATTTCAAAGAGCTAGGTTTTTCGTTTCCACACACGTGTTCATCTTCTTCGTTATAGTTGAAGGAGCGGCTCAATGACGCGAGCATAGAAGCAAACAAGATCATCCTTTGTCGACAAAGAGGCTTGACGACGCGAGCATTAAAGTTGATAGGATCATCCTTCGTCGACGAAGCGGCTTAACAACGCGAACAGTGAAGGC